GGAGGGACCTGCTCAGCAAGACACAGCCCATCTCCTGGATGCCCTCTTCCTGGTCACTAAGGAGCCCCAGGTCCCCCACGATCTACTACAGGCCCCAAATCACATCTCACAGTCCCCCGTCATCACCCAAGAGACTGCATGCTAACATGCCCCAGCTCTGTCCCACTGACACACACGCATTAGAACCCATCACCCCAATAACAGGTCTTGGACAGGAATGTGATCCTGACCATGTTCAGGGGTGTGAACGGAAAGACGGAAGGAATGTGGTAGGTCTGGAGCTGGGAAGGGGGAGCTCCCTCTGGGCCTCGGCTTCCTCATCTGTTCACCGAGAGTTCTGGCTCAGCCTGCCCTGGGCTCTGTGATTCTGGTTGGACCACAGTGAAGCCACGTGGGTATGGGGAGAGGGATACCCCACTGTGCACCAGGCAACGAGCTAGGTGCTTTATGCACCCCTATCTTTCTGCTCTGAGGAGCAATTCAGGTTCTAAAAGCCAGCCAGCCCCATCCCTGCCGCATGTTCACCATCTCCGGCTTGCGTACCTCCAGTCACGGGTAGTTCACTCCCTACTGAGGAGCCTGTCCCCAGGATGGCTCAGAAAGCCAGAGAGGTCCAAAGGCTGGGTCCCTGTACTCCAGACACCTGCCCGGCTCTGCCTTGTGAGACACCTGAGCCAGCTCCACGCTCTGCCCCAGGACAGGGATTTGAAAATAGGTTTTACCAGACTTCCCTGGTGGTGCAGTGGTTAAGAATCCGCCTGCCAATGCAGGGGACACGGGTTCGAGCCCTGGTCCGGGAAGATCCCACATTACCGCCAAGCAACTAAGCCCTTGTGCCACAACTACTAAGCCTGCACTCTAGAGCCCTCGAGCCACAACTATTGAGCCCGCGTGCCACAACTACTGAAGCCATCGCACCTAGAGCCCGTGCTCGGCAACAAGAGAAGCCACCGCAATGAGAAGCCCACACACCGCACCGAAGAGTAGCCCCCTGCTCGCCGCAACTAGAGAAAGCCCGTGCACAGCAACGAAGACCAAACACAGCCCAAAATAAATAAATACATAAAGTTTAAAGAAAATAGGTTTTCCCCACCCTGCATGCGCAGACTCACAGGACACTCCTCAACCTCCCTCATCCCTGGTCCTGGCCTCCCCGCCTTCAGCTTCCCTTCACCTTTGTCAAGTGAGACTTGAGGGCTGGATGTGTGAGACAGACAGGAAGAGGTGAATAGACACAGATACCTGGGGGTCCCGGGAGGCCCAGATGAACCCTCAGCCAGACTGAAAGCTTGGCCCAGCCCAGGGCTCAGCTCACAGACGGAATGGAGTAGTTTTCCTACCAAACAGACTCTATGGCTACTGGGGCGTCCCCTCGGAACCTCACCGCTTGCCTTCCCCACCCCCAGGCCTGAAATTCCACCGGGATGTTTCATTACTGCTCTGAGGTCTAGCGCCCCCGTTCCTGGCTGAGGACGCCATTGGCTCCCCCCAGCCCCCCACCCCTGCCACTCCCGGCTGTGAAGAGGTGCAGAGTCACCCCCAGGGTTGCCACGGAGACAGAGTGATGGTAGAGCCGCATCAGGCAGGGTCCCTCCAGCAGCCACGAGGTCCTGGTGGGGCCCCACCCGCCCGCGGTTAGCAGAGCTTCCCGGGGAGATTCCCCGCTCAGCCGGCTCTAAGCCCCGGGGTCCACCCTGGAAAGACCTTCAAAGGACTTGGCCATTCTTGAGTGAGCGCCAGGAGGGAATCTGCTCTCAGAATCAATCTCGCCAGCCACACGGGTGGAAGGAATTTGCCATTTCTCCTAACAGTGACCCCTCGTGATTTATACGGGGGCCACCGTCCGAAGGCCCCAGTTAACGGATCACAGTGGAAAATGAAAGGCCCAGAGCCAGGCGTCTCACTGGGCTAATTACCCTCAATAAGACCCAGCTGGCTGGGGGAGCTGGCGGGACCAGGGCAGGGCAGGATCCCTGCACGCAACTCCCTGGGGACACGGAGACCTGCCATGGCCATGCCTGGGCTTCCTGCCCATCACCCTCCAGGGCGCGCTGGAGCCACCAAGCATTCCGGGAGAGCCAACCCGGCCAGCTTACGAGACAGGTCACCTCTGGGGATGGCCACGGCCTCAGGGTTTGCTGCTGCCGAGGAGCTGGAAATCCCTGGGACCCAGAGAAGCACAGGATCCCATTCTGCCTATGCGGAGACTAAGGCCCAGACAGATAGGCAGGTCCCAGGGAGCCTCGGGCGTGGCTTTGGCCTGGCTGCAGGCCCAGACCTCAGTGCTGGCCACGGAAGCCGCCTCCAGAGGCCTCATGCACCTCAAGATCAGCTTTCTGGGCCGCCTGGAGTTGGTTAAATGTTTCCCAAGAGTCTGTTTTGTGCCAGGTCCAGTGAGGGTTGCTAGGGGTAGAGTGATGGGCAAAATCCAACCTGATCCCAGGCTTGCAGCTCTTTGGGGAAGGCCAACGTCATGTACATCTCCCCAGCAAAAGTACTTGGTGTCATGAAAGTACACAGAAGGGGATTTGACCTATTCCAGGCACCAGGGACAGGGCATGTGACGTGGAGCTGAGAGCAGAAAGCTGAGTAGGGGTAATTGGGCACTTATCCAATGAGAGAGCATCCTAGGCAACAGGAGCGGCATATGCAAAGGCCCTGTGGCAGGAGGGAATGTAGGGCACTCAAGGAACTGAATGAGGCTGTGCAGGGAAGCACCATAAAGATGGTGGTAAAGGGGCAGGTGGGCAGGTGGGGGAGGCCACAAGTAGTTCTCGTACCTTTAAAAAGGTGATTCCAGATATGATGACTCAGGAGGGAGGAGTCAATATCTCTCTGGCTTTCGGGAGCCTCAGCCCCCACCCCTGGAAGGGGCAGCTCTGTGGACCACCCCAGCTGCCTGGACCAGAGAAGGACCCAGAGGAACCCATCTAGGGGTCGTGGAGTGCCAACCCAGGTGTCCCTCGGGAACTAGACATAGAGTCATGGAGACTGAAGGAAGCTGGTGGTAGGCCCAGGTCAGGGGCAGCCAAGACCACCAATGAGCCCCAGCTGGAGGGGGAGGGGTCCCGAGCAAGCAACGCTGTGAAAAACGCCAAGAGAAGCAGAGGCCTTAGAGCCACCAACAGCCTCCCGACTGGCCCCCCACTCCCCTCCCGACTTCTTTGCCCTAGGCCACTGGTGCCTCCTGTCCCTGTGGGTCCCCCACCCAGAGCCCAGGTGGGTGCGATAGGCGCTACTGAGTGCGTCCGGGCCCTGGAACAGAGTGGGTGTAAGGGGACAGCTGTCTGAAGGGCGGAGGAATGAATGAGCAAAGGAAGGGCTCCCAGTCTCCCCTCCTGGGCTGCATGGAGCCCCTCCGGCCTTCCCCACTGGCCACCCCGTGTCCTCGTGGAGCCGGGCCGATGCAGGCCCAGCAGGCCTGGTGTCACGGAGCAGGGCAGCCCGGAGCTGCCGGACGGGAGAGCAGGTAGCCACGGCTCCCACTCCCTCCAAAAGCTTGACTCTGGCCTGGCTCCTGGGGACACAAACAGGTCTGACGAGTTCCTCGGCAGCCGAGTCCTTGACTTCCAGGAAAGCTAAACTCTTCGAGAGCAGAGAGAGCGAGGCCTGGGAGGAGGGAGGGATCTTTTGGAATATTCCTCTGCCTCTGCCTCGGGCCTGCCCCAGCCCTGCTCTGCGGATCTCGCCCCTTGTGTCCTGAGCCTGGGAGCCCCAGGCTGATGGGGACGCCTCTCTCCCCATCTCCCCCAGAGGGAACATGGAGTGCAGGAGGGCAAGGGACAAGGAAAGGGACCTCCTCACTGTGACCCCAGATTCAGTCCCCGCCCCCATGTCCCAGTGCAGGGTGTAGCAGTGTGGGGTAGAGCTTATGGGCACAGGCTCAGAGCCATGCTGCCTGGGTTCCGCTCCCAGCTCTGCCATTGACCTCATCACCTACCTCGTTTCTGTTTTCTGTTTTGGTTATCTTTCCCTTATTGATGTATAGGATTTTTTTTTTAAACCCTTGCTTCCATGGACCTTACATCCTTCTTTTTTTTTTTAATTTATTTATTATTTATTTTTGCTTCGTTGCTGCATGCAGGCTTTCTCGAGTTGTGGCGAGCCTGGGCTACTCTTCGTTGTGGTGCACAGGCTTCTCATTGTGGTGGCTTCTCTTGTTGCGGACCACGGGCTCTAGGCGTGCGGGCTTCAGTACTTGTGGCACACGGGCTCAGTAGTTGTGGCTTGCGGGCTCTAGAGCGCAGGCTTAGTAGTTGAGGCAGACGGGCTTAGTTGCTCTGCGGCATGTGGGATCTTCCCGGACCAGGGCTCGAACCCATGTCCCCTGCACTGGCAGGCGGATTCTTAACCACTGCACCACCAGGGAAGTCCTGATGTGTAGGATTTTTTTAAAAGTATATCTGGGATTTAAGATCTTTGTCAATATCTATTGTTGCCAATATCTTCTCCAGCCTGGGCTTGCCTTTTCACGCCCTTCGCGGTATCTTTTGCTGAGTGGAAGTTTTCAATTTGAAGTCCAGTTTCTGCCCTTTTATCATATGGTTGGTGCTATGCGTGCCCTGTTCAAGAAATCTTTGCCTCTTCCATAAACATCCTTTGAATCCACCCCCCCCCCCCCCCCCCCCCCACCTTCTTTGCCTCTGTCTGGCTTCTAGCTGCCAGGTCTCTCCTGGCCCTCTCCCACCTCCTCCCCACTGTGTCCCCACCCCAGTTCTTGTCTCTCTCACTGCATGATATTTCCGCCCGGGGACAGGGCTGGCTCATGTCCATGTTGCTGGGCCTGGCACCAGGGCTGGCACGCACTAGGTGCTCAATAAAAGCTTCATAAATGAAGACAGTGTCTGTGCCCCAGCTGGGGATCAATTAGTTCTAAACACCAGCTCATCAGGAACATTTGAGCAAAGCCAGGAAGTGAAAAACTTTGGAAAAACCAACAACATAGGAATGTTTAGCTTTCTCCCCAACCGGAGCATTAATCACAAAACCTCAGACCTTGTTACATTATTTATTCTTACTTTGCCCCTGACCCACAGGCCAGAGAGCCTTTTCCTTACACGCACACGCTGGCTGCAGGGGCTCCTCAACGGCCGCCCCTCTCCCCCACCCCCAGCCCCGTGTTTGCTGCCTCTGAGTGTGTGTATGGGGTGGAGGGGGGGCCGTCGGCGGTCCCCTTTTAGTCCTTCTCTTCGCCATGCGTGATGACGTAACACAGGTTCCTATAGTCCAGATTGCCACACACATCTGGCGGGAAGGCAGCAAACATCTGCTTGATCTGGGGAAAGAGCTGGGAGTCAGCCTCAACCAGGGCCGAGGGGGGGCCAGAGCCGGGGGTCACCCAAGGGCATTAGGCAGAATGTCGCTCCCCTCTTTGGAGAGGGAGGCATCAGGGCGGAGGCCACAGAGGCCAGGCCAGCAGGCCAGGATCCCACCACCCTTGTTCCCATCCTAGGAGTCAAGGGGGCATCATCTCAGCAGATCACTAAAGAAAGCGCTTCCCAGGAAGATGCTCGTCAGTGCTGAGCAAGGACCTGAAAAGCCGGCGCTCACCTCGTCCTCACTGAAGCGGTCTGCCTGCGTCATGAGCTTCTCTTTGATGCTGTTCAAGGGAGAGAAAGGGTCACATTCAGGGTAAGGGCCGCTCTGGATGTGGACACGCGGACCCTGGGGCTGATGGCCCAGGAGGACCCCAACCAGGGCTGGCCCTACAGCCCCCAGATGGCTGTGTGGCCTCGGGCGGCCACTTCATCTCTCAGCCTCCATTGTAACGTGGACTCCCCTCTTCACATCAGGTGGGGACCCAATGACATGGCCTTGGGACCCCGATATGACTGTGGGGGCCACTCTGATGTCCCATCGTGCACTAATAATCAGCCTCTAGGTCACGGAGGGGAGCCTCTTTGCCCTGGCTCTAGACGCACCGCCTCTTCAGCTTATGAGTTTTGTGGACATCTGTAAGGTGCTTCGGAGCATGCAAGGTGCTTGCACTCAGCCGGGGGCAGGAAGGCTACCCAGGTCCGCGTCCTCCTGCGCCTGCCCAGGCCTCCTTTGCTCCTCGCAGCCCTGGGAAGTGAGTACTATTATCCCCCTTTTACAGAGAGGGAAACTGTCCCCCTGCGTGGTCCAAAGGAGCAGCTGCCCACAGCGGCCAGAGCTGCCCGGGGCCTGGAGGGATGGCCAGAGGTGGGGCATTTGAGGCTGTGGCGGAGGGACTGGTGCCCCCGGGAGCTCTCAGGGGGTGCAGAGGGCAGGGGTGGGACCAGAGGGCTGAACAGGGCCCTGAGCACCCGTGTGCCCTGTGGCGCCGGCAGCCGCCGCCCTGCTCCAGACCGACGCACATTTTCCATTATTTATGTTACTACAGGACAGTCACAGTTTCCAACTCTCCACGCTGGGGATTTTTCACAGACTCTCTTTCAACCAGAGCCTCCTCTGTGGCCGGCCTGGCAGGCAGCCGTGTCTCTCAGATCCCATAGCCTGGGGATGGCGCCCGCGGTTCCCAAACTGGGTCTCCAAAGGGTTCCTCCCAGCCCTGACTTTGCTCTAGTGGGAGGGAAGGTAGGTGGCAGTAGAGGGGTGGGTTCGGGTCACCCCAGGGGTTCCCCCAGTGCCCCCCTAGGTCTCCAAGATGGGGGTGGGAACCCGGACTCTGAGGGAGGGCTGAAGGAGAGGGCTGCGGCCTGAAGAAACCCTCGGGAACCTCAGGAACCCCTCCCCGACCCCTGAGGAGAGTGTGGCTCAGAACTCTGGGGGGTGAGGGGCTGTAAGAATGTCTGAGAGACAAGATAGACCCTCGCCACTTCCTCCCTGCCCCCCTGCCCTCTCCCACCCCACCTCCATCACGTGCTATGCTAACGTTGAATAGAAAGCAAAATTAGCCTCCAGCCGAGGCCTCAAGCATCACAGTAATTGCTCGCGAAGCCTGTGACTAAGGAAGAAATCTTGCCTGCCCAGGGTCACCCACAGGCCCAGGGAGGCCTTGGAGGCCCTGAAGGGACAGCTCAGGGGTTGGCTCAGAACACTCAGTGTCTCAGCCCCTGGACCGGCTGCCTCTGCCCGGCCCGCCCCGGCCCGCAAGTCTTGGCTGTCTGCCCTGTGCTCTCCCTGGGCTGAGGCTCCCAGACACAGCAGGCATTAGCGCTCCCTCCTTCAGTGATGCCAGCCCAGTGGAGGCCGGACAGCTGCCCACGGCCACCGCACTCTCTCTGCGGCCCCAGCTGAGCTGGTTCCTTCCCATGGCTATGCCTCCATCCCCACATCCACTTGGGCCCTGGCTAACATCTACTAAATACCCCCCTGTACCCTGGTGGTACAGATGGGGAAACTGAAGCCCAGAGAGAGGAAGGGTCTCACCCAAGGTCTCAGGGACTGTGTGAATGACAGCAGGTGGCCTGGTGACCCTTACCTGGTCCTCTTCCCAACACCCTGGATCCCATTGGTGCTGGCCTCTTGTATTTCACTCACCCATCCACTCGCCTCCATCCCGATGGCCAAGACCCTTGTGGCCGCTGCAACCCTCTCTTCTCCTCCTCCAGGCTGGCCTCCATGTTGCCCCTGCCTAACTGCTGCTTAGGCTCTCCCATGCCCCCAGGGCAGACCCAAGGTCCAGGGCCCACACAGGCCCTGCCTTCCTCTGTGTGCTCCAGCCAGGGGGAGCCTTAGTCATCCTTCAGGGCCCACCTCTACCCCCACCCGTTCCTCCCTCGCTACTGGGAAGCCCTCGCCTGGGGACCCCATGTTCCCCATACACATCCACACAGATGGGGACACTGAGGCCCAGAGAGGGGAAGGGACATCTAGTAATGGCTGAACTGGGCAGGGCAGCGGCCTCCTGGCTCCTGGCTGGAAGCTGCCTGAGATGCCTGAGTTCCAGGCAGGACAGGAGACTGGGCTGCGACCCACCCTGACCTGACCTCAGTCCATCTATCACCTGAGGCTTTGGGGAGAGAAAAACCAAAACAGAAGACCGAGGAGACTTACAAATCAGCCTTGACGAAACCTTTCCCTTCAGTGTCGAACACATTGAAGGCGTGGAGAATGGTCTCCTCCGGGTCCGTACCTAGAAGCAGCACACACAGGCAGGGGGAGCATCAGGATGAAGAGGCCAGGCAGCGGCTGGGGCTGGGGCAGGTCCCATGGCCCCTACAGAGGCCAAGGGCTCAGGGAGCTTCCTCCCCAGCTTCTAGTCCACAGTGAGGCCAGAGAAGGGATGTTTCAGAGAAACAAGGAACAGTATAATAGCCAAGGGCTCTGCATATAGCAACAATCAGCCTGCACAGATGCACCTGGAAAGGCCTACCAGGCATTTACTATGTGCTTAACCCTCCTGCCCATTGGTCCCATTTTACAGATGAAGAAACTGAGGCTCAGAGAGGTTAAGTGACTCGTCCAAGTTCTCACAACTGATGCTATGTGATTCGACGATGGATGGAGGAGAACAGCTTTTACTTGGGGGCTGGAGGTGGGGGCTCTGGCAGCGGCATTGGAGGAGTCTGAGAGGTTGTCCAGGCCAGAGGCGGGGCAGGTGGGTCCACAGGTTTGTGGGAGTGAGGGTGGGGGGACAGGAGAGGCAGAGCGCATCCGGAGCAGTTCTGGTTTTATCACTTTTATGGTGTGGGCTTTGGGGAAAGATGTCATTAGAAGAAATGGTTCTACTAACACAATGGGATTAAATACCCAGCCCCCTGGTGGTACAGATGGGGAAACTGAAGCCCAGAGAGAGGAAGGGTCTCACCCAAGGTCTCAGGGACTGTGTGAACGACAGCAGGTGGCCTGGTGACCCTTACCTGGTGCTCTTCTCCCCGTCACACTGACCTCCCTTCTCACTATGGAACCACGGGATGTCCCCTTCCTTCTTAAGGCTCAGCTGTGTCATTGGTGAAATGGAGACAAGGGCGGGGTTTGCTGCCCGCCTCCCAGGATCAGTTAAGATAAAGGGTCATTAATGGGCAAGGTCTTGACCAACATTATTATGGCCACAGACACATCTGAGCGCTCTGTGGCAAGTCATCCTGCAGCTTCGGCACTTTACCCCATGGGACTCCAGCACACCCCTTGTGGTAGGTCCTGATGCGCCAGTTTGTCAAAGAGGAAACTCAGCCTCAGAGAGGCTCTGTTACTTGCCTGAGGTCTCCAGATATAAGGGGAGGAAGGGTTTGAAGCCAACTCCTTGAACCTCCAGAGCCCCCTTCTTGTTCTGCCATGCTGTGCTCCTGTTACTCAGACCGGGTCAGGGCCAGCTGTGTCCCCCACATCAGACTGGGTCAGGGCCAGCTGTGTCCCCCACATCAGACTGGGTCAGCGTCATCTGTGTCTCCCCCATCAGGCTGGGTCAGGGCCAGCTGTGTCCCCACATCAGGATAATCCAGGACAGGATGATGTCTGAGTGACTCCACATTTCTGAGACTGGCCCTGAGTGACTGGGCCGGGCTCAGTGCTGACCTTGCCAGCCTGGGAGCTCCTAGAGGCAGAGCCGTGGGCTTCCTCTAGGTAGGGTGGCAGGGAGCCAGTGTGCCCAGGCCAGAGGCTCCATCCAGGGCCTGTCACAGCCTGGCCTTGCAGGAGGAGAAGGGTTGGCCACAGGATTATGCTTGGGGAGCTGCTGTGCAGTCTCTGCCTCCCAGGGTCTCCGGAGAGACCTCTGTGCCGGGGCAGCCTGGCTCCAGCCTGCTTTCCTCAGGACCGGCTGTGTGTGGACCAGCTGCCCTGGGTTCAGGCCCTATGGCTGGACATTCACCACACCCGCTCCTCCCTTCTCTCCTCTGCTCTGCAGACTGCAAACCTCATCAAATGGGCAGCAGAGAGACTGCTTCCCCTCACTGCTGTTGGGAACCTCATGACAGTGTCCTTGTCCCAGTTAGAAGGACGAGGTGGTGCCTGCCCAGCCCCCCGGCTCCTGTTCCCACCCCAGGCTCCGCCACGTTCGCATGACAGGCTCAGCTGGAGCTCCAGCCCCGGAGCCCCTGCGAAAATGAGAAAAAGCTGCAGCCCTGGGTCGGAGCTCTTAGCTCAGCTGCAGACGGACACGAGCTCCAGGACTTGCTTTAAAGCCATGGCTGGAGTCACGCATGTCTTTGCCTGTGAGTGTGCCCCTGCCCTGCCCCCTGGACTTCTGCGCTCTTCAAGGAGGTGGCCATGGTCCCAGGAATAACCCTTAACAGCTTCCCAGAGGGGGGCCTGAGGGCACTGTTCTGTCAGCTGGACAACACCAGGCCGTCGTGGGTTTAGTGGTGGCCCCCAAAAGATATACCCAGGTCCTCATCCCCAGGACCTGGAAACGTCACTTGGCAAAAGGGCCTCTGTAGATGTAAGGAAAGGCTCTTGAGATGGACTGATCACCCTGGCTTATCCGGGTGGGCCCTGAATCCAATAACAAGTGTCCTTACAAAAGTGAGGCAGAGGGAGACAGAAGAGGAGGGGGCAGTATGACCACAGAGGCAGAGATGGGAGGGAAGCAGCCACCAGAAGCTAGAAAAGGTCAAGAACGGCTTCTGCCCTGGAACCTCGCAGGGAGCCCGACCCGCCAGATTTCAGATTTCTGGATTCCAGAACTGAGAGAATACATTGCTGGGGTTTTTTTGTTTTGTTTTTTTTTTTTTGCGGTGCGCGGGCCTCTCACTGTCGTGGCCTCTCCCGTTGCAGAGCACAGGCTCCAGACGCGCAGGCTCAGTGGCCATGGCTCACGGGCCCAGCCGCTCCGCGGCATGTGGGATCTTCCCGGACCGGGGCACGAACCCGCGTGCCCTGCATCGGCAGGCGGACTCTCAACCACTGCGCCACCGGGGAAGCCCCATTGCTGGTTTTTTGAGCCGTCAAGTTCGTGGTCATCTGTTACAGCAGCCTTGGGAAACTAACACAACCCCCATTTTACAGACAGAAAAACGGAGGTGCAAAGAGCCGATAAGCCTTGCCCAAGGTCACCCTGGGGGTCAGTGTGAGACCAGGTCTTAAGCCCAGTTGTAGCCGAAGCGCCAGGGGAGGGTATCAGGCAGGGGCTGCCTGAGCCTGGGATGACGATGAGCCCCACCCCGCAAGGGCAGCCGCAGCCCAGGCTGGCCCTTCCTTCTGACCACAGAACCCCAGCCCGGCCTGATGCTGCATCTCAGGGGAGTGCAGTGGTTAGAGCCAGAGTCGGGGTTACAGTTCCATCCCTGCCACTTCGATGCTGGGACACCTGGAGCAGGTGTGGTGACCCATCTGAGCCTGGGTCTCCTCACTCACGAATGAGGCCCCTGATCCTTTCCCTGGAGGAGAAGCCCATCCTGTACTGGGGTTGGCCACAGAAGCTTCCAGAACGCCCCTCCCCCATACCACCTTCTCCTGTCAGCAGTGGGCGGTAAGGCAGAACAGCCAAGATGAGCCCAGGGCTAGGAAGGTGGGGCTGGGGCTGGGGCGCCATCCTGACGGTGGGCGAAGGGCTTTCTCGCAAACTGTCCCGCTGGGCGCCTCACAGCCCTGCAAACTGGGGGTCATCACATTCACCCCACTCTGTGATATGGAGGTGGAAATCGAGGCACGGTCTTGTGTGTGTGCCCCGGGGGCTGGTGTCTGGGGCTGCATCGTGCATCGGTGCGGGGTACGTCAGCACGCAGGGCCCTGCCTACCCACACCCACTCGCCCATCCCCTCCCCAGGGCCCCCTGGGGCCTCACTCACCCTTCAGCTTCTCCCCAAACATGGTCAGGAAGACGGTGAAGTTGATGGGCCCGGGGGCCTCCTTCACCATGGCCTCCAGCTCCTCGTTCTTTACGTTGATGCGGCCTAGGGGAGGCACCCAGGAGTACAAGGAGGGTCAGAGGGGACCCTGCCTGCAGGCAGCCCCAGAGAGCAGAGCATCCTGCAGGATCCCCCAGCCCTACCGTCTCACCTGCCCCCCACTCAGCCCTAAGGCCCTGCCCCCCTGCTGGGGGACCTCGGGATGGGGACACATCCAGCCGTGGTCATCACGGGGCTGCCCCCAGCCTCACCACCCGCCTGCCACCACCTCAGCCTCCCTGGAAAGGAGAGCAAGTTGGTGGTTATCCCCATGTTACAGATGAGGAAACTGAGACCCAAAGAAGCTGCAGCTGAGGTACACAGGGGTGGAAGGCCTGGGCCTCAGGGCTCAGGTGCCCCGGGAGGGGACGGGGACCCGGGTTCCTCACGGTCCCAGGGGACTAGCAGATCTCTGGGGGCTTAAGGCTCAGTCCGGAAGTGAGTTGGTTACGCCCCTGTCCCCCAGCCCCAGTGCCCCCATCCAGGCTTCAGGCCCATCCCTGGGCCCTCAGAAAAGGCAAAAGCCTCGCTGGCAGCTGAAGACCGCCCGGTAACCCGAGTCCCACCCCTGGATATCTCCAGCCTCGTCCCCACCCACTGCGTCTCCCCCTGCTCTGCTGACCCCTCCCCCTCCCCCTCCCCCTCCCAGCCTTTGCACGGGCCACTACTGCCCCTCTTCCCCACCACCTGTGTCTCCCCCTGCTCTGCTGCCCCCCTCCCTCCCCTGGCCAGTCCTCCTCTAACACCCGGGATCTCCCCTGACCTGCCAGGCAGTGGCCGCCCCTCCTCGGCACCCCCAGAGAACACCAGCCCCTCACATCCCCTGCGCCAACCGCCCTGGCCTGCCCCCAGCTGCCGACCCTTTCTGGATGGCCAGGGCTCGGATTGCCCCCCACCCCCAAGCCTCCGGCTGCTGGGCACCCACCCAGGGCAGCAAAGGTGTCCCTCAGGTCCTCCTTGTCGATGAAGCCATCCCGGTTCTGGTCCATGATGGTGAAAGCCTGGCAGAGACACGGGCACTGAGCAGCCACCCGCCCACCTGCCCAAGCCCAGGCCCCCTCCCCAGAGAGATCCCCCCTCCCTGCAAGGGGCTGTCCTCCCGACCACTGTTGCCTGGGCAACCTCAATACAGGCCCTCTGGCCACCCGGTCACCCAGCTCAGCATGTCACCAGCATGAGAGTGATGGTCAACCTGCCCTGGGCTCCTGCTGTGTGCCAGCACGTGCTGGGGCTTCACGCCCGCCCCTCATATCATGCTCCCAGCAGCCCCATTTTACGGAGCGTGAAACTGAGGCTCGGAGAGAGGAAGGGCTTGCCCTAGGTCACACGGCAAGCAAAGGCTCAGGGAGAGGCGGGGTAGAGGCTGCCCAAGGACAGCTCGTCACCTCTCCAGAGGCTAAGCTATAGCATGGCAGCCTCTAGATAGTGATGTCATCACCCCCCAGCGGCTGAGGGCCGAGCCCACGCCTTGCCGGCTCCCTAAGGGCTTTCCGTGCATTCCTGTAACCCTCCCACCGGCCCTGGGGGCGGCTGACCAACCTCTTTAAACTCCTGGATCTGCGACTGATCGAACATGGAGAAGACGTTGGAGCTGGCTCCGCCTTCTGCTCTTTTCCGGGCTCTCCTGGGTGCCTGTGAGGGTCCAGGGGACGCCTTACAGAAGCCCCTTCCCGGGAAGGTCCCCCATTCGCCCCACTCAACCCTCAGGGCTCATCTCCTGAAGGACACTGCCCACCCCCACGGACCCCAGCAGACAGATCAGGCTCCTCAAGAAGGCTGGCAGAGAAGCAGGGCGTTTCCCCGCTGCTTCTTCCCGGCGAGAAGCCAACAGAACGGCTACCCTGCGGGGCTACCTGCGGCTTCCCCGACAGGCCCCTGACTCCAGAATGCAGGAGGTCAGTGCCCAGGACGCGGAGCAGAGAGGGGCGTCTTTTCTAGCACCAGCCACCATGTGGGGGCCCCTCCTCTCCTGCCACCCTCCCCGGTGTTCAGGGTAACACCCAGACCCCTTAGCCCTGCGAGGTCTGCTCCCTCTCCCAGAGCATCCTCCCCCGGCAACCTGGGTCCCCCCCACTTGCTTTGAGCTTCCTTCTCTCCCAACATTTGCTCCTCCCATTCCCACTACCTGGGACACATTCCCTGCCTTCCATCGGGATGAATCCTCATCCTTCAAGCTTAATTCCCCCGCCTCCTCCTCTGAGAAGCCTTCCCTGACTAACCCCTCCCAAGGCCAACTTAGAGCTCCCCCACCCCCTCTGTCCCTCCCCACCAGTCTTGGGCTTCCACACCCCGTAGCACGTAGCACACTGTCCTGCCATATCTCCCTGCGTCTGTCCCACCGCTGGGCTCCCCTCCCCCACCCAGGGCCTGGCTCCGATCTGGACTGGTTTGGAAATAGCGGCCCAGAGCTCAGGGCATATCTCAGGGCAGCAGGCAGAGCAGGTGACCACCCACGTGGAGGGTCTCTGGCCAGACTTCCTGCCTCCGTGTGTTTCTTTCCAGATGTCATGGTGCCTGAGAGTCGTCCACTACTGGGCATTTGCTGAAAGCTCTCTGTTCCCAAACCCCTCCAAGGGACCTTTCTCTCAGCAGCCGTCACTGAGGTCCCCATGTGCAAGGAGCCCCAGACTTGGCTTGTGATGGGGGGGAAAGGACAGGCGGGACTTCACAGAGAAGGAGGTGGAAGGGGACCCTCCACAGATGTGGGCGTCCCCACACCCAGCTCCGGCCTCCGTCTCAGCCCCTTCCACCCTCTGTGCCCATCCCCGTCCACCCCACCCCAGGGCCCGGGCTTCCCTGGAGCCCCCGCGCCCGCCCCCAGCGCCTCTGTGGTCTCCCCTCCTCCTGGCTCACTCCTGTCCGCTCGCCCAATGTCCCCATCCCCGCACTTGCCCCCAACTCCCCTGGGTTCCTGGGCTCACTTCAGGAGCCCCAGTGCCCGGCTGACTTATAATTAGCTTTTACTGGGTCCTTTGTCTCCACTAATCCTTTGAAAGGGGGCTGGCGGGGCGGCCAGGACGTTATGATGCTGTGAAACCCCTGTAATATTTATAAATCCCTTCAGACGTCATAAAGAAAAGAACCTCCCTGTGGAATTCATCTCACATAATTACATATACATTTCCTTAATAAAAAGCAGTCACTTCCGTCTGTGGGATATGCTGCCCTTTCTCTCCTCAGACCTGCCCTTGGCCACGGCATCCCAGGCTTTCAAGTCCATCTGGGGGAAACGTCACCCTACTGTGTGGCAGACCCTGTTCTAGAACCTTGCAAGGAAGGAAGGGGCTGTTTTCTCCCACTGCACAGGCAAACCTGAGGCCCAGGGCCCTGACCGGGCTTCTGATCTCCCAGCCAGGACCCTTTCCAGCCCAGCTGTCTTGGAAATTCCCTTTTATAATGTGCCTCTAAAAAATAAAAATCCGCTGAAGGGAACATCTCAGGGCAGAAGGGGTCACCCAGACCTGAGTTCTAATCCCGCCTTTGCTACTCACAGCCTCTGTGATGTTAGGAAAACCAGCTTTCTGCCCTGAGCCTCATTTATAAAAGCGAGATGACGTCTCCCTCAAAGCATCCGGACACGTATTAGGTACCTGCTGACCTCCAGCCAGGCCCTGTGCCCAATCCCAGGGACCTAGAGCTGAATCAGGCCTGGTCCTTGTCCCCAAGGAGCTCACAGTCCAGCTGGGAGACAGACGATCACCAGAGGGTGATGGGGGGGGGGAAGATGCTGAGAACACAGAGGAGCCTCTGTACCGCTGGGGTACTCAGGGCGGACCTCCTGGAGGAGGTGGCTTCTGAGCTGAGGCTTGACAGAGTTCTCAGGCCAGGAGGGACCGATGAGGGTGAGTGAGACAGGGGCATGAAAGAACGGCACCACTGAGAGCCTACAGGGAGACCCAAGGGGCTGGAGCACAGGGGCAAGGGGAAGGTGGCAGGGCAGGCCCCACATGGCCTGAAGGACCCCGTAGCAAGGCCAGCAGTCCCCATGCCAGGCTCCGTAGGACCCAGGCTGTCCTGGAATAGTGACCCCGACCCCCATAGGAAGCATATTCTCTTAGTGAGATCAGAGCCCCACTTTTCCCTGAAACCTCCAAGCCTGGCCCACCCTGTCCCCCTCCACCCTCCTCTTCCTCGCCCCCCGCCCCAGCTTTCACCTCAGCAGCCCCCACCGAGTCCAGGAAGGCACAGACCCAAATCAGGACCCACAAGGATGGACTGGCCGGGTGCAGGGATGACATCAAGGGTGAAGAAAAGGTCAGGACAGGCACAACATCAGGTCAAGGTCAAGGTCAGGGTGAGTTCAGGCAATGAGGTCAAGTTCAGAATCACAAATGCAGTCAAGGTCACAGGATGAGGTCAAGGTCAGGAGGCGGGGCAGCACCAGCCTACCATGGTCTGGATGGCTCCCTCGCGCTGCAGCAGGGCTGCGAGAGCGCAGCGACAGCTCTTTAAATAGTGCTCCATGTCCGGACGACAGTTTGGAAGGTGACAAAGGACAGGAAGGGGGCCTCCCTGCCAGACACCTGTCAGGGGCCATTGAGAGTGGGTGGAGTTGTGGAATCCAGAGACTGTCCAAACCACAACGATCTCCACCAGTGCAGGGCCAACAGGATCTCTGCGGCCAAGGGACCGAGGCCCAGGAAGGGGCTCCTGGCTGAGGGCACACGAGAAGCTGAGGCCTGGGGCCAGCTAGGGAGACTTGGCCTTGGGCCACGCAAGTTCAGGAGAGCTCCCAAGGCAGGGCCACCCACACCAACTGGGGAGACTCAGGGCGGCACCGTGGCCCGAGCCCTCGAGCCGTGTGACTCTCGGTGGGACACCATCCTGCAGAAGGCTCGGGCTCTCATGTGAAAAGTGGGGAGCGCCATCCTGCAGAAGGCTCGGGCCTCTCGTGTGAAAAGCGGGGAGCACCATCCTGCAGAAGGCTCGGGCCTCTCATGTGAAAAGCGGGGAGCTCGTGACGCTTCTTGGTCAGCCCATGGAGAGCGTTTCTGCATCAGCCTGGCCTGCAGGGACCCCTCAACCAATAGGACTACTGCCACCATTACCCACCCCAGCCTGGGCCCCCCCAGGGCCTTGAAAATAGTCCAGGGAGTTGAGAGAGCAAAGAGACAAGAAAAATGGAAGTGACTCTGATGAAGGAGAACTGAGAAATCACATGCCCATCCGCTCTGGCCACACACATAGTGGGACGTAGCCCGTCCCCACCAGGCCTGGGCCGGCCCAAGAAGTCTCTAGTTCATGTGACAAGCCGAGCCTGCACCTGCCCCTGGCAGGGGCCCCAAAGCAGCCCAGCTGCCCAGTCTATCCAGCCAAGTCGGCCCCCACCTGGGACCACCACGCCTGATGGGCTGCCAGGGCCGGCAGTGCTGGGCTCAGGCTGTGGTCCCACCCGGCCCCAGGCACAGGACGGCTTAACTGTCCCCGGAGCTGGCCTTAGGCCTCCAGGCCCCGGTACGGCTGATCCCCTGTCTTGGGGGAGGGAATGTGATGACGATGAAAACAGTAAGAGTAGCTAACATTAATGAAACGCAGCAAGTCAGGCTATATCCTAAAACTTGTGTCTTCACATTGACTCCTTTACCCCATTTTCCAGGTCAGGAGACTGGGGCACACACGGGTTAAGTGACTCACCCAGGCTGATAAGTAGTGGTGCCAGGATGAGGGCTCCTTTCTAGTGGTTCCAGAAGGTTGTGCCCATTGCGATGCTCCCCTCCCCGAGCCATCCTGGACCAGCTGACTCTTACCAGCCCCTCTGACCTCCCCGAGAACTGTGATGGAATCTGCCGCCCTGAGCTGGGGCCAGGCCCTGCCATGCTGCCCGCTGGCAGGGACCAACCACACGGGCTACAGGTGTTCAGCAGGTCAGGGTGAAGGGAAACTGGCTCTGGGCACAGGAGCCAGGATTCCAGTCGCAGCTCCATCTCCACCCACGGTGGGAGATGAACTGTGCGAGCACGGCAGACACCTGCCCCTTTCTGGGCCTGAGTGGAGGGGCAGGTGGCCACTGTCTATGCCAGCTGTGGCAGCAGCCTTTCCTGGCCTGGTCCATGAGCCTGGCCCTGGGGCCTCCTGGCTCTGGGCTTGCTGAGAGGGGAGAGATGATGCTATCCGGGGCTACTACCCCTGCTTCCTGCTGGCCGGAGGTGTCCATATGCGAGGCCTGGATGCCCCTGAGCTCCTGCTTCTGGGGATCACTGCTCAGGACAATGCAGGGGTTCCTGAGGGCCCAGGACAGTCCTGAGCACTCCGAGGGCCGCCCAGCCTGCCAGGAGGAGGGAACTGCAAGAGGGAATCGCAATGAAACTCGGAGTGAGTCACACAGAGCTCGCAGTGCTGAGTAAATGAGTCCCCGTGGTTTCCTTCCCTGGCCGCCTCTTCCTTCATATTATGAAAGCAGGAAGAGCTAGTCAGAAACCTGGTGGAGACCGTGGAAACCCCCAAGGAGAGATGGTCGGGAAACACTTGTCCCTGGGGTGGGGGGAGTAGGGGGAGATGTGGGGAGCATGCAGCGGTCCTGAGAGAAAGACGCTTTGAGTTCCACCCTCGCGGTGGGACTCTCTCAGCAACACACAGACCCTCAGTCTTCCCCATCTGAGAAATGGTGCCAGTGAGCTGGCTGCTTGGAAGCAGCCATCAGGCAGCCCAGCGCCCTGGGAAGGAGTCACTGACCCGGTTTGGAGGGCAGAGCCCCCACGTGGATGGAATTCTTTTTCTTTTTTTAATAAATTTTTTTATTTTTGGCTGCGTTGGGTCTTCGTTGCTGCGCGCGAGCTTTCTCTAGTTGCAGCGAGCGGGGGCTACTCTTCGTTGCGGTGCGCGGGCATCTCATTGCGGTGGCTCCTCTTACTGCGGAGCACGAGCTCTAGGCGCGTGGGCTCAGTAGTTGTGGTGCGCGAGCTCTAGGCGCGCAGACTCAGTAGTTGTGGCGCACGGGCTTAGCTGCTCCACGGTATGTGGGATCTTCCCGGACCAGGGCTCGAACCCCTGTCCCCTGCATTGGCAGGCTGATTCTTAACCACTGTGCCACCAGGGAAGTCCCTGGATGGAATTCTTGATGAAACTTACCACCGCAGTCCCCCATCTGCCTGATGGGGCCACGGCAAGTCTGTTGCCATCACCAGGTCACATCGTTCAGCTCGGCTGACCACTGGGTGACG